ATAGGTGCCCCTCTGTCACCATGTAACCGTATCACTAATTTCCATCCACTGTTTGCTCTTCCTGTCATATGGATTGTTACTATGGAGAGCTCAAGCTGTGCTTGATGAAGAAGTCATTTGTTTATTTTTGGGTCACACATTTCCAGCTGCTAGTTTCTCTCATGTGCCTTCATAGCCTGGTTGTATACAACAGCGTATGCGCACTAAACGCATGGGATCATCCTGTGCTTGATCTCACAATGTTTTTATCACACAAAAAATTGTACTGGCTTCATCGGATATGGTATAACCATCGTACCCAGTTTATCTCTGTTGTCTGGATTAATTTATCTAATATAAGCAATCTAACTAAGTGGTCGGAGGTAGTTATCAACCCAACATGTTTACCCAGGGTTTCTCTATCTAGTTAAAATCATGTTTACATAAAAAAGCTGGTGGAGGCAGCATATAACCAATCATACTGATGAATAAGCAGGAGAACAACTAATTTTCCAATGGAGGTCATAACTATACTATTAGAAAATGTGAACACCGTAAAAACTTACTACAAGCTGAAAGTGACAGTTTCATTGTTTCACTTCTGGTTTTTATAGGTAAATGATAATTATGAAAACAGAGTTCACACGTAGACTTAAACCTATGTGCAATTTGTAATTTGCAGTAAAGTTGTGTCAAAATTTTGGATAGCTGTCAAGGAAAAATCAAGAGAACCCAAATTTCTCATCACGGAAAGACAAAAACTTTACTCTTCATGCACTGAGGTCTGGTGGATCTTTACAACCTTTTTTTTCTGTTTGTTTATTTTGGTTTTCCTAAAGATTTTTCCAGAGAACTGATTGAATTGGTTGAACTGTCAGTAGGTGTGGATTTCATATCTCAAACATACCCTGTTGAACAAATTTGGCCGTGAGTTCTTTAGCACTGGACTAGCCTCATAACACTGGAAAGAGTTAACCCTGAAGTTGTGTTAATAAGCCCCAATCCTGCTTTATAAGACCGACCTCAGGTGTCTGACTGTCTGGCAACCTTACGATCATGAACTGATGTACAAATTAATGAATAAAATTTACCAGAATACAGATAATTAAGTGACTTGACTACAAACCTCTCGATTAATGTGAAAATGAAAAGCATTCCCATATGTGTGTGTTCTTTTCTCATGTTACAAGCATTAATTTGCCTTCTCTTCTGATACCAGTTTTCTTTTCATCTTCCCCCAGAGTTGTGTTTTTTTTCTTTTTTCTTTTTTTTCCCCTTTTTCGGTGTACTGCCGCCCGCCGCCTCGGTAACGAGTGCTTTTGTTGGGCTTTTTTCACCTGACCTGCCAACATGCCAGCCGCACTTACAGATTCCAGTCAGATAATCTGTGAGGTCTGGGCGAGCAATGTTGAGGACGAAATGAGGAAGATTCGGCAGATTATTCAAAGCTACAATTACATTGCAATGGTGAGTCTCTGGAGTGATGGCCTAATTTCTTTGTCCAATGTTTTTACACAGTTGAATTTGAGGTGAATTTTGTGATATAGTCTTTTTTTAATTTAGTAGATGTGGTTTTACAAATGACATTTATGTCTCTGCGCTAGATACCTGTCCTATTGGTTTCTTTTTTTCCTGCTCCCAATCTCCCTTTATTGATGTTTTTGATGTTTTCTGTGGGGGGGACTGTTGATCTCAAATATTATTTTCATATTTAATCCTAAAATTTACCTAAATGTCCTTAAAGGACTCATGACTACTCATTTCCTTAGCTTTCACTGATCTCAGGCTCTTATTTCAGTGAGTAATGACAGATTTCTGAGTGAAGAAAAACTGTAAACAAACACTTGTTGATATTGTTCACCAGGACACAGAATTCCCCGGAGTTGTTGTCAGACCGATCGGAGAGTTTCGGAGCACAGTGGATTACCAGTACCAGCTGCTGAGGTGCAATGTCGACCTCCTGAAGATCATCCAGCTCGGGCTCACGTTCATGAATGAGGAAGGAGATTATCCCCCTGGCACAACAACGTGGCAGTTTAACTTCAAGTTTAACCTTACGTGAGTGGACTCTCTTTAAATCCTCGTTCTTTTCATTGTGTTGCAGCCATCTGAACGTTTTAGTGTACTGACTGTGACTGAATGTAGAGAAGAAGGGCTGACTTAATCACCTGCTGCATTATATAACTTTATCTCCACCATATGTCTACATGTCTTTGGAACTAAGTTGAAATCATGTTAGAGCAGTTGTAAATTGATTGTTGCACTCATAGACTGTATGTAAAAGATGGACACAGCTGGCTTTTACAGCACCTTCTGGTTAAAGTCAAACTGCACACTGACAGTTTCAGACATACCCTGCTTTGCTGCCCTCTTTGACAATACAAAATGAGCATTATGTCATATTTAGTAAGTTTTGAAATAGTAACTGACAATTTGCTCTGACTTCCTGATGAGATCAAAAGAGCCAAATGGTTGTTGTTTTTCCTGTAGATGTCTATACAACCGCAGGTCTTTTTGCAGCTGCGGGATTCGCCACCTGCTGGCTGTTTAAAAAGGCACATTTCAAAGCCTGAAGCTTTTTTAATCAGTGTGGATTTACTGTCTAAATGTGTTTTTCTCCGGTTCTCCTTCCAGAGAAGACATGTACTCGCAAGACTCCATAGACCTGCTTCAGAACTCTGGCCTCCAGTTTAAAAAACACGAAGAGGAGGGGATCGACACGCTCTACTTTGCTGAGCTCCTCATGACGTCCGGCCTGGTGCTGTGTGAAAACGTCAAGTGGCTCTCCTTCCACAGGTCAGTCGTGTGTTTGCACCCTACACCACCTTTTAGTTGTATACAATAAAAAAATGATTTTAGCAATATATAAATGGTGTAACGTTGCTCTCTGCAGACCTTTCTAAAACCATGAATGAAGATCAGCATGTGTAGTGTTAAAGCAAACTGAACCGTTTTCTTAGAGGTGTTTCTGCATCTGTGAGGTCTTCAACAAGTTTCTGAATCTCTGTTTCTTTTAGCGTTGTTTCTGTCCCAGGAACTTTAACCAAAGAGCAGGAGGTTTGAAGGAAATGGATTCCATGGCCACCGGGATTTAAATTAAACTCTGAGAAATAATTTCAGTGTCCCAAAGAAGCAATAAGCTGAAAGAAGGGAACATTTGACTTCCTTTAAAGCTCCTGGGACTAAAACTTGTGGATACTGGTAGAAATGAAAAAGCTGAACCTGATCAGTTTAGACATCTGTTATATTTTCCAAGACACAGTCCACCTAAATTCTCAATTTAATTTCGGGAAATAATTTTAAATAACCGTCTCGTTCCTGCAGAGAACACTGTAAGTAATTCTTTAGACTTCATCAGTGTAACCCAGCTGTCCTCTTGTCCTTTGTTCCTCAGTGGGTATGACTTCGGCTACCTGGTGAAGCTCCTGACGGATGCACGCCTTCCCGAGGAGGAGCACGACTTCTTTCAGATCCTCAACTTGTTTTTCCCAGCGATCTATGACGTCAAGTACTTGATGAAAAGCTGCAAGAACCTGAAGGTAAACCTGGATGATTGAGTCACTACATCTGAGTCGGTGCTTCGGCTAGACTTGAAGCTGTTAATGGCTTCGCTTTTAAATAGAAGACATCTGTCAGATCAGATCAGGATGAGTTTTGACAGATATCTGACCGTGGTGTGTTTGCAGGGAGGGCTACAGGAAGTGGCAGACCAACTGGAGCTGAAGAGGATTGGACGGCAACATCAGGCTGGGTCCGACTCACTGCTCACAGGCATGGCGTTCTTCAGGATGAAGGAGGTACGCTCTCACAGATACCCGTTTGATCTCTGGTAGAACTCATGATGACATCTGCAGCATTATTAAATGCTCGTGTTTGCTATTTATCCGAGTCAAAAGATCAGATATTACAGTAGTTTAATGTAATTTACCACTTTAAATATTTAATGTTATTCACTAAACTCAAACTGGACTTATTTAGCATGTTTGTGAATCCAAACGTCCTTTCTTTGAAAATAAATATGAATTTAAACTAATGGAAATCGGATACAAATGAAGCAAGTTTTGATCAAACAACATTCCTGTTTGCACACCCGAGACAGTGTTTGAGTCATGTCAGTGAAACTTTATATTTTGTCTGCAGCTTTTCTTCGAAGACAACATCGACGACGCAAAGTATTGCGGGAGATTGTACGGCCTGGGCTCGGGCTCCACCCAACCCCAGAACGCCATCTCCAGCTCGGGCCAGGAGGAGACCAACAACAAGCACTGACCGAGCGCTCGACCCTCCAAGTGGAACACGCACTTGTTTTAAAACCCAACCAGCAGACCCCCACCACATGCTCTCAGACGTCCCTCGGCAAGACTTTACTAAATGCATATTTGTTTGAGCGTCGCCCTGCCGAGTGACTCGGTGACAGTGGCTCCTTCACCGCTTTCTTTTTAGTCACTTTTATGAGTATATGGCCATATATTCATAAGACTTTTTTAAAAAAACCTTTTTTTGTTTTCTTCTCTCTCACAGCATCAGTGACATCTTTCTTTACAGCACGGGACCAGCTGCTCGATCATACTGTGATTTTTAGACCAAACATTGACACGAAAGGTCGGGTCTTTTTCATCAGCCGGACTCTTCTCCTGTTGCAGGGATTTTTTTTTCTTTCCTTCTTTCTTTTTAAGTTAATGCTGGAAGGGCCTGTAAATTAAAATGTATAATTTTGATGCAAATAAATGTTTTAGCTCTTTTCCACTTTGAGAAACTTTTAACAGTGGGAGTTGGAGTGTATAATTGTGCTTGGGTACTCACATGCTTCACTGGCTAAACTGCTGTCCTGTACATTCACCCTCAAGTCAAACTGTCCACGGTCACTTGTGCAGGTGTTGTGGTCACTTTTCTTTTTTTACATTCTTCATTGTTTTAAACAGTTGTACATTAAATTGTTTTGTATTTTCAATGCAAGCAGAAAGCATTTGCTCTTTTCTTTATTGAGTAGATTTACAGAAACACAGTGTGTGTCTGTGTGTAGAAGGGTTAATGATATATAGATGGACTCCATCAGTTTGTGCTCATAGAGAAAATTCTGATTTTGGAAAGAGAAGATGAGCATTTAGCACAAATGTACAGCTTTCCGAAAACAGGAAAATCATCTCCTCCTAGATTTTACCATCTTTGCTTCAACTCCTAAACCATTTGGTGCTACAGAGAAAATTCTGATGGTTTTTGAAAGGTGAGCTTTAATTTTACAGGCAAAATTAAAAGTCCAAGCAGCCTGTACGATACAACAAAGACTTCATGTTCTTTTGAAGATGTTTATTGAAAAAGAAATTTGACATGTCAGTGTGTATATCAAAGGTGTGCTAAGACGACCATTAGTATTTTGAGTTTTTCCCAAAGGAAGCTGCGTAGTGAGAGACCACCTTCACTACCTTCTGATGCACACACAGTTCTATAAGGTTACTCCTGAAAAGCTTTCCATGATCATTTTAAATACGTTTTTCTTTGTTTTTTTAAAGACTTCAGTCTCTAGAAGCAGCAGATATTTTATGCATCGGTTTTTACAGTTTGGACTAGGGATGGGTGGCACTGGTTAAGTCATAAACGGTAGTAACCAGACTGAAAAGCAGCGCACATTTCGG